GTCAGTTGCTGTTGTTACAGCACAGCTGGTTGTACCTGATTTCGTTGTGCCTTGTATGTCCTGAAAGCTTGATGATACAGGTCTTTTGAGTCCGTTTCGCGAAGAAAGAGGCCACGATGTTTCGACAGTTGTGGGATTTTCGAGCTCCCGCTGCCGTGTGAAAGCTCCGCGCTTGCGCAGCGCGGAGGTTATATAGAGGATGTTCAAACAGGAGGCACCCGTGCCACACTGAAATCCCCACACACCTTCTCCATGCCTTTGGCTTCGGAAAAAGAACGTCCCAGGCTCAGTCCCACAAGTCCATGGAACTCACGACGGCCACCACGCACGCGATGACGGAGCGCCTCGGATCTGTCGGTGCACGGGACCGGATGGGACCGGAGTGAGCTGAGACTTTTGGATGAGGAACTGGAAGAAGGAATTGTAGGTTTTTACTAGATAGGGAAACAATGAAGTGCATATATAAATGTTGATTCACTGTATTATACTGTATCGAATTGTGCATTCATATACGTTAAAATATTATATCTATAGTCAGTACAATACAACACAGTCATTGAGTCATTGTTGTTGTTCTTCCTCGGAGTGCTTGACCAAGTAGCGCTACAAAAAACCTCTTCCGAACAGTTGTTGCTTGCTTTCCCGTTGTTTTTTTCCACCCGCTGTTTGTTTTTTCCGCCTGTTTTCCGGGGTGCAGGGCCAGAAGGGTTTTATGTCTACCCGTTTTGGGATGCAAGTTTTTATTTCCCCACCTGTCAGGTGAGGGTTGTTTGATTTTAGAAGAGGATCCCGCCTCATCCTCTGTCTCTGTCTCCTCGCCTTGCAGTTCCCCAACTGCCACCTCCAGATCGCGGGCACTCCCGGAGCTCCACAGCAAGCGCCAGATTACAGTGGCCCTCAAACGGGCCAAAAAGGAACCCTCCACCAAATTAATTCAAAAGCAGGTTGGGAAAAGAACATGCCCTTTCCCGGACCTGAGGCTTTTGGAACAGCTGTTCGCCACGCATGAAGAAGACTTAGAGCGTCGAGGCAGGGCTTGAGTGCGGGAGTCGAGTTCAGGGGCGGAAAGGGGCGTCACAGCCTGGTTCGGAACAGCCATCACATCAAAAAAAAGAGATGTGAGCGGCTTGCTACAAAGCTGGGTGGTGGCTCAGATATGTCCAGTTTTGTGTGTTACTTTTACTTGGGAATATAACAGACATTAAAACACCCACTGACTCACTGGTCCAACCAGAGAAGACTTTTGGGCGCTTTATTAAGGACCCTTCCCTTACAACCATTGAGCGGCAACGATCCAAGTGGCGTATGAAGCGAATTCTGCCAAAGCTCTCACCGGACTCCACGGACACCGCATCCACGCGGATTGGTGGGCCAGAAACGGCAATGGGATGAGTTGCAAAACTATGATGATCTGGTTTGGAACATCCACACATCTTCACAGAACATCTGCGAGACGCAGCTGCGAGGATTTGCGAACCAGGAACCTGGGTACCCAGCCGTACCCAGTGACGTCGGGTAGATGCTTCAGCGCCAGGTGCTGCAGCCCGAGATGCCACTGCATCGGTGGGCAGGAGACCCATGCTTCAAGCAATTTCAACAAAGGAGAGCTTGCAACAAAGGAAGTCAGACACAAGCAACATAGACTTGACACCTCAACATCCATTTCGGAGTGATCGGTTCCAAGGTCGACTTCCTGAGCCCCAGGCCGTTTCCATGGCGGCAGCCGCTGGGACGGGGAAGGGAGGTCCGGGTGTACGGGTGTAGACTGTAGACCGGCCGGCCGTTTCGGCCGCCTGGCTGAAGGCCGGGGTTGATTTAGTCATGATCATCACTGGAGACTGGGCACAGAGGAAGGTTTTTGGTCATGTTTGTGTTTATCATATTTTGGTTGTTTGGGTGGGCCGAAACACAAGTGATTATCTAAGTTGTTGCGCAACCTAACTACCATGTTCAAACACAACATACTTTGAGCCTTGACATTATTTTGGAACCATTTACTGTATCTCTTGGTAGTGAAGAGATACCCTGGTACCCAATCCCCGGTGCAGGTCTGAGGTGGTTTGGTATGCGATGTGCGGTATGCGATGCGTTAAAATTTCATGTATACATATGAGCGGCTGAGCGGCCAGCGGCCGCCGGCCAAGATGTTTTAAGTGCGGCCCTGCCAGTTCTGAATATAGGTCTCCAACTCGCCTGCTTCACTGACACACGTTCTTGAAGATTCCCCAAAATTGTTGGCTTGACCGGCACAAATGACACATCGACATTTTTGACATTGTCCTTTCTGCCTGAAGCAATCACTTTGTGGTAGTGTATTTGGAGTCAGTTGTTCCAGACTAATCAAACTTGTCCGGCACATTCCTTTCATATCTGAATTCCGCAAGAATGTGCAAAAATAATACCCCACATTTGGACTCGATCCTCCGTCCTTTTAGCAAACCAACCAAGCTATACGATGCTGCTGATAAAATTAATCGACTCGCACTCCCCTGTTATATTATCCAGCCGCTTTTTGAACGGACTTTGATCACCGAAGCTGACACGTTTCACCAGCTCTGAGATGTTTCTGCCATGAGGTGGCGCTCGCGCAACTGGGTCGCGTGGAAGAAGAGGCGGAGCTCCTGCAACTCCTCGCGCAGTGTGTCGCAGGCGCAGCGCAGGGACTGGAATTCAGAGGGGAGCTACTCTCCCTGACAATCATCGTCGTGGAAGCGGAAACCACCTGTTTGGTATTTGGACTATGGTCCATCCAAAGGGCCAGGTGCACTTAGTACCCTTCCTTTTCCACAAGCATTTCACGTACTATAACGTACTTGTAAGTTCCATGTTTTATCCTCCCATCTCTATCCTGAGGTTCCTGGCCCTCTAAAATTGGTTGACGGCCATCCGGAAGAGCGCTCTGTCTCACCACGCGCCAGCGCTGCGAAAGCGCGTCCAGGACCGAAGAATCCAGCCTTTCTGGCCTTAGCTTCCGAGGAGGAGCTCAAAGATTTGCAAGGAGAATGGAGATGGATTGGATGGTGGATATGGTGGATATGGTGGAGAAATGGAGACGGAAGACATCCGATCTGTTGCTTGTCCAGCTTCTTTTCGTTCGTTTGTCTTTGCTTCCAACGTGCTTCCGATTCCTAGAAGTCCTGTTCCTCCTTTTCCTTACGTAAACACATGTAAGCACGTTCTCCATGTCTCATGATGAGACCTGACTCCTTGGTCCATCCACCGGTGGGGGGAACCCCCGCTTCCACCAGGCGCCTTCGAGCTTTGCAAGGCCACCCAGGTGACCGAGGCTCGGATCTGCGCGGTTGGGCCGTCCACAATGGCGTGGACCACCTACAGGTCACCAATTGAGACCTGTTAGGGCTTAACACACCTCAACTATCCTCAATGAATGACCTGTTGGAGGGTGCTGGGATGTTTGAAGTGTTGTATTAGGGTGTTTTCCTTTTCCGATATGTTTTTGGTTGACACTGACACTGCTTGACTCCTGACGTCCATCTTCGGGATCTTCTCGAAGCTTCTGCGAATGTAAAGACTGATGGAAGGTCGATACGGTGAGTCTGGAAGGTGCTGTGATGCTTCGCTGTTGGACGGTGATTTCTTTACACGATTGGATATCGATGTGTTTCGGTGGGCTGGCGGGTAGTTGACAGGTGGATTGACCCCCCCAAGTTGGGTGTCCGCAAATGGCCAGGCGACACTACTATAGAGGTTATTCTATGTTTGGTCTCGATTGACCACCCGGAAAGTGGATCCTGACAGCTGACATATGGGGATTTTCAGTTAATTACCTAGCATCAAAAGGACCCGTACAAACCCTGTATTACCGATGTTTGACTATGCGAGCTGGGGTGGTTGGTACTGCCAATACACCAGAGTCACTCAGAAGTCTTCGAATCCACTCAGAACACCACCGCTCAATGTCTCCCATGGCATCATGGCAGCAGTCCATCACCTTGGGTGGTAGGCCTAGGCTTAAAATGATCCTGGAGGGTGAGACTTCTTTTTAGGTGTGTGGATTCATGATGTGTCAAGGGCTTGAGGGACAAGATAGATCGAATGAAGGGCAACGACCCTCATACTGGTAGTTTTGGATGAAGTATCTGAAGTCGAAATCCACAGGGAGAGGCAGGCTGGTAAGTACACAGCCCACCCCATCCAGGTGCTGATTGCTGAACTCCAGCGCCGCGGGTGATCGTCCTGCTTCGACCAAAAGATGCCGAGTGCCGATTGTCGGTGATCGGGCCGTCGTCCATTGGGTGAGTGGGGACGGGTCCAACCAGGTGTCGCCCGACCCGTCCATGTACCGTTCCGTCAGACCGACCAACGACCTGGTTCCAGGAGGTAGGCCGTGCCCGATCGGTATCATGGGTTTTTGACCCACAGCCACGTATCATGTCGCCATGTCATAGCTGGGATGGTGAAATCAGATCTGCTGCTATCCTGCTATCCCTTAGGGCTCGAATGTCGACCTTGTTAGCATCTTCAAGAGTAAGAGTATCCAGTTTGCCGGACACGGTTGCTTTGGAGAGAATGACCGGAATCAATCTGTTTCTGGCTGGTCGCGGTCAATTCCACCGGTCAATTCCACACTTGTACCCTTGACAAATCCCGAGACAAATCTTACGTAGTATATCATAGATTATCATAGTATAGATATGCCAGGTATTCTTTCACATGATATCACCGCAACTTAATTTTGGATTTCAGTGTTCTTGTTTGCTTCGTAGCACTTTCCGTATGGCATGATCACTGTTGTGTAGCCAATAAGATGGGCCAAGAGCCTCGGTGCAACGGTTTGGGCCTCAAGCCTCCAGTGGGCCACTTTGCCCAAGAACCATCAAGGTGGAAGATGACTCCACAAGGTCTCTGGCATGCCCCTGGCATGCCTGCCCGACCATTGAATCGTACGAATGAAATCCAAATCTGAAGCTAAACCCACCCGCCAAAACGATCAACGATCCGAACGATCCAACCAACCGTGGGGTAACCCGACTCGCCAGGCTGGACTTGCCAACTTTCATCTCCTCACAGCCGTCGCTTGACGTGTTGAAACGAGAGTAAAGCTGTGGATGAAAAGCGAAACTCAAGCTGTTGGTTGCTGGGTTCTGCGAATGGGTTCTAAGTTCTACGTGGTTCTATACATATGATGTTTGGCTTGTTTTGGGGGGGTCACCATTCTGCGGAGAGTTGAGAGATGTTGAGAGTGAATGGGACAGTTGGTTCCGTTAGACATCCTTCACATGTTGGGGCTATGCCGTGAATGTGGCTTGGTGGCGTGGGGGTTGGCGATGTTCCAGAAACCGAACGTCGCAAGCTGTAGGACTTATACAATTCAAATTGTTTACTATAGCTACAAACATTGCATTGGGTCTGTCCGAACGTATCTTGAAACAGTTTGATAGACAATGATCACTTTTTTTGAACAAGGCCTGCAACCGAATTTTTCATCATCCACTGGGCCCTGGTAACAGGATAGTCGGATAGACCCAAACTATACACTTTACCAGGTCACTGTACTGAGTAGTACCGAATGATGTCGTTCCATTGTGGCCTCCTCTGCGTGACTCCGCAGAGAAGGTGTGGTCCCATCTGGCACGACCGCACGAGGTCTCGTCACGAGTGGAAGACCACCTCACTGGGTGGATGATGTTTAGGGCCTGGGGAAGACCACCTTGTGATCTTCATCCACCGGCAGACTTGGTGTGGAACTTCCCCTTTCAAGTGTAGCCATGTGTAGCAGTGTAGCCTTAAGCCCAGCAGGTCTAGGGCTGCATAGGTAACATTACGACATTGTCACGTCATATTCATGCTTCGTTTACCCAAAATGGAACTGCACAACCTGCCAGATCACCTGCCTGGTAATCCCCTTAAAGGGGTCCAACATGGTCCAACAAAAACCTCTCATATTATACGATCTTGATACGCCTGGATTTTGCCATGTTTTGCAGAACCAAAAGCGGTGATTTTCTCGATTCCCATCTTTGGATTGCGCAACAGAATCTGTGTCCTTCTTTTCTTTGGAATCTGTGCCGCAGCGAACGGTGAATCGAATCGGATGGCTTTCCCCGGTCCCGTTCAGATGTTTGGCACCCGGTGAATCGGATGTCTTCCGTAGGTCCTGGCGAAGGACGTGCACCGCGTCAGCGTGGCGTTGCCCAAGAAGCGGGCCGGGCGGCTGAACGAAGGACACGGAGACAGGGAGGCAACGACGCTGGGTATGCCTTAGTAGGACAGCTGCAGATCTGCATGGCTAGCCATTTCATCCTCCCACCCCGACCCCAGCATGTAGGTATACTGTAGTGATCTGGATGAGTCTTCATGAGTCCAAGGAGTTCACATATCGTCCCACAAATTACGCTCCATTGCTCGGTGCGGCGCGATGCTCATGGCACGGGTTTTATCATAGGATCCAGCAGTTTGGGAAACTCAATGGAGAGCAGTTGGGAATCTCAACCAGACGAACCAGTGGTGGAACATGTTTTCTGCAGGGGACCGGGGACTAGGCTTTTTCGGATGGCAATGGACAAAAGAAGAATGGAAGCAGCAGATCCAGTAGCAAAAGATGGTTAATGTTGATGAAGTGATACTCAATAAGTATAGATATAATTTGATATAATCTACAGTAAGTAATGAAGTGATAATGAATTGAATTTTAGAGCATTGTGAAAAGTGCTTCGATCATCTTCAAACAAGAAAACTAAACTCACAGAGGGGATCAAAGGGGATTGTCGTCTTACAACGTAAGGAAACGGAGACAAGGACATGAACATGTTTGGAGTGTTTGAGCCAGTACGTGTATATATATATATACAAGTTTGTAGAAATTTTGCACAGCTCAGGTCAAAAACATTGGTAGGGAAGCAAAGAGAAACGCAGCCAACCTGAATTCACGAAGGCGTGGACGCACAAGTTGCTGAAATGCTCAGCAGCGCATGCGTCTGTTTGGTGCAGGAATTCTGCCTCCAACCGTTTGATGGTTCATTTGCTAGACTGGGACACTTGCTGTTGCTGTTGAATAGAATTGATTGAGAGGAACAACTGTAAATCCAAAACACTGAAAACTCCAAAGCACGCGAGCACGATAGAATATGGTCAGTCGACATTCTTTCAGCCATGAGTTTGAAATGTACTGGAACTGTTGATCAAACTCAGTCTTGGAGCTGCCTCAACATTTTGAAGATCGATCACCTTCACCTACTATGGGACATGTGCCGTGGGAGCAAGCGTCATGTTGCACCTTGACCACGATTTCGAACAATGGAGTCCAATGTATTGTAGGTAGTGTACCCCAATACCCCCCCCAATATGTTGAGCGAATCCAGGCGGAAAGTCTTCTACACTTGGATTCCGACGAAACTCAGATATAGAACTGGCCAACTGCTTGGCTTGATGCTCTCCAACAACGGCCTTCACGTTTTCAAGCTTCGCCCGCACAGATGTTTTTTTTTTTTTTTTCTCCGTTGTAGAGAGAGCGTTCCATATTCAGTGGTAGATGAGAAGTTTTCCAATCTCACCTCGCTCCGAAGTCCAAGCCGACAAGAGCCCCTCTTGGCGCCGTCCCATCTCGCCAAAGGCCACCACCACCAACTACGACAAGGCCTTGGTGCGCTTCTTTGAGCAGGTGCGGCTGATGGACGCGCGGGATGGACGGCAGTTCAGGCGGCTCATGAGACATCCAACCAATTGGTTTTTGGATGGTTTTGGTCGTTTTTGGTCTACTTTCCTTCTTCCAAGAGGTTTTGGGAGGTCTCCCTATTATTATAGCGGTTTTGTTCGTCCGCAAGCTGTTGGCCTTCCAGCAGCGACAACTGGGGACTGGGGGTGAGGAGAAAACAAGTTCAATTTTCAGTGCGTGCAGACAGAGAGTTCAAGGCGTGCTGTGCCCTCCCCTTCTTGTATCATATTTGCAAATAGCTTCTGTTCTTTTTGGAATTAGCTTCCTGTTTGTTTTTGTCTACACGCCAGTGCCTAGCAAATAATTGCAAATGGCTCCACGTAGCTTCACACCTTTCCCAGCTCCCCACAGACAAAGGGGCCGACCCACTAGTCAAGGTATAACATAACACCCATATACTTCGATTGGACGCGTTCAAACAGGTTTCGAGCAGATTCGCTGCGGTTTGATTCAGAAATGGGGGTGAGCACTCTGCAACCTCCATGCACCGTTTGCTTTGTTCGGAGTTCATCAAAGTGTTTTTGTTGGCTTCCTCTCTGTTCGGGTGTCCAAGCATGAGCAACTAGGAAGGGCCCAAAGGCTCCAACGAAGGGTGCTCCATATTGCTCCATTGCTTCCTGGAAGGTCTACCAGGGTATCAAGGACCATGTGAACCTTGACCTGGTGAAGTGTGTCTTGCTTGCTGGCCCGGGCTTTGTGAAGGACAGGGTGTCAGGCTTTCATCATTGGCGAAGGTGTCAGGCTCTCGGCTTTCTGGATCCGATGACCGCTTGGATCAGTGGTGTAGGGGACAGACCCCACATGTTTCAGGCACAACTGTGGGGACGTGACGCGCCAGTTCGTTGTTTGGATTTTCTCTACACCTCCCAGGTGTGATTTCATAGATGTGTGGATTTCTGAGCCTCCTAGGAGCCTCCCAGTTGATGTCTGGATGTCGGGACCTTCGCCCCCCTTCGTTTGCCCAGGACGACTTCTTAGCCTGGATGATCCAGAGGGCCACCCAATCGGGGTGCGGATGCTTGAAGGAAGGGGTGCAGCTGAAAGACGACGCGAGAGGCACCAGAAAAAAATCGGAAAACACTCTGGCCAGTTCCCTCATCATGCCGTAATTATAAAGAGACCCAAAGAGTGTTAAAATTCAGAACCAACACATGTCTGAATTCCCTGAAAGCCCATAAGCCCTTTTTGAATTGAAGCACTTGAAGCCTGTTGCTTGGTCCAGCCCCCCCCGGGCTATTCCACCCAAGTGAGTGGAGTCCATCCCTGGAGTTGGCTCAGAGTTACCCGAAACGTCGGATCACTCACCAAAACGTCGAAGCGAGTCTTGGAAGTCAAGAAAAGCCCTTCCAAGGAAACCCGAACGGGTCGATAACAATTGAAACCATTGAAATAGTATAACTATAACAATTGAAAACTTCAAGTCAATTTGTATAACAATTGAAAAGGTAGAGCCCGTTCTCGGGTGAAATGTGTTTTTGCTTCAGTTGTTGAAACCATTCATAAGACAATAGAGATATGTATAATATCAATAAAAATCATAGCATAATATAACAAAATACATAAATCCATTTCTTTCTGGCGATCCTGTTGTTTCAATTTGTGTGCGTGTAACAACAGAGGCTTACAGATCTATCCACACCTGATGTCCTGTTTGCTCCAAGGGACACGCAGCTCCTGCAGAAGAAAAGCAACTTTGTCTCCGTCCATGCCTCCTGTGTGTCCTCTCCTCGGCTCACTGACTGGGTGACCACGGGGACGATCCGATAGCTGGGGTGCTTCCGTGGTTTGGGGAAGACCGCATTGCGGGCTTGGGAACATCGTTTGTCGCGTTTTGTTCCGGCATGTCCGGGAACGTGTGATGCTGTTCGTTGAAAGACACGCTCAGTTGCGCGGAGGCACAAACAAGCTTTGAAGGAGTTGCTCGCTGATGAGCAGGCACAGATTGAAACAGACGATTTGATCACAGCTTGACACATTGGGTTGTGGAAGACGGATCCTTCTAGAGAGACAGATTGCTTTGATTGCTTTCTGCCCCATTGAGCCATGGCAAGGTGCAAAAGAGCATAGCCAATACGAAGGCGGCCGCACATTTGAAGGCACGGGCTGAGGTCATCCCCCATGGCAGGGCAAGCAAGAGTGTCCAGGGAGATTCACTTGGATGCCCTCTCAAGAGCCCCTTGCTCAAATCTGATCTGGTGTTTTTCTTCACAGTTTTGCCTTTTGCCCAAATAGTCCAACAAGGAGTTTTGAGAGGTGGAGTGTTTTGTTGAAAGCGGTGCGGTTTATAAGGCTCTTGCAGGAACATGCAGGAATCGCGAGAGGACTAGGAAGGGCAGAATTTGGACACTTGCACTTTGTTGTGACCAATTCATACTTTCCCATAGGGTCCAAGTACCTCCTGAGGATTGTCTTGGAGGCCAAAGTGCTTCCTGACAATTGTCTTTTGGGGCTAAAGAACATCCTCAGGATGGTCCTGGACCCTCTGGGTTTCTTCTAGGCAGTTTGAGATCCAGTTGAGGGAGCATGACTTCGTTGCCTTTGCCATCCAACTGCCAACTGCGGTTGCATCATTTCTGGGATCCGGCCCAAAAGTGGACGCTTGTTAGGCCTTAGAGGAGTTTTATCTCATGGTGCAGAAAGAGTGGAGAACCTAGTGATCCGAGAGCAAACTTTACAGCGAGCTCAGACGGCGACGTCGAAACAGACGACGGTTTGAATCAGAAGGTTTGACTTGTTTTGTTCCAATCCAGCAAGGAATCCAAAGGATGTGTTTGCTCGGACTCAGGTGAACAGTCAGGATAGCATTTTGTGTCATACGATGTCCAAAGGTTTTCCTTTCCATTGTCGCTTTGTTTGTTTGGCAAAGTCAACAGATTTTCGGAGATGGCCTGTTGAGTCACTGGAACAGTCACAGCTGCCAGAAACACATTTTCTCAGAATGAGGTTCTTGGAAAGGATCCATACCATCCATTCACACGATTACAACTTCTTCCTATGACCCGGTTTTGTGTTACACTCCGACTCACTAACATGGAAGTGGATGGCACCCCCTGTTTGTAGAGAAGAATAGTCTTCCAAGGGGCCATTTTCCACTTCATGTTAGTGAGTCAGAGGCACGCATGTTCAATTGTCACTTTTGCACTCCTAGGCCTGATCGTGTGTGCTACGGCCCCAAGCAGGTGTGGTCGATGAAGAACTGGGAACTGGCGCTCATGGGCAAACCATGGAGGGAGGAGGGTTCTTACCATCGCGGTGTGCAGAGCTCAAAAGGCTTGAAGATCAATATATATATATGCCTTTTCTAAGCCCTGTTCTATTCATCAAGATTCATTCACGGCTGACCACAGAACTCTGCTGAGTGCAATTTGCCCACAGGTGTGCACTGCAGAATATCCCCACGGGAGGTGACAGAGACCTTTTACAATGAACACGAGCAGATATCTCGGATGAGCATTGAGAGAACAGACGCCCCGTCCCGTTTCATTGTGTGCAGATGTCGGCCCTTTTTGAGAGTGTTGATGGTAGACCTAGATGTCCTGGGCAACATCTACCTCTTAAATCCTCTTAGTAAGAGTATAGGTGGATGGCCATCATGGCCACTTGAGCCTTTGAGACCATCCCCCCACTCCGCCGGCGGACCGGCCGACCGCCGCGGACGGATGCGGACTGGAGGTCTTTGAAGCGGTGGAGAAGTGCGCGGTGCAGACCCTCATGGTGCGAACGGAGGGAGCGAGCGCGGGTTCCGCACGGAGTTTGCCAAGTATTTATTATACAATTTTAATATAGTTATAATATTTAATATACAGTGTATAATATATATTAGATTACATGAGATTCACGCCTGAACGGACGAACTTCAACCAATTCTCAATGATGTTTGGCTGGTGGGCCGGGCTGACCAAAAGGGCTGCTGGGGCTGGAGCAGTGTCATTGTCTTCGAATGAAGCCTTTTGCAGTCCTTTTCCTTGGAGATTATATATAGGCTACAATGGCTTGGCGACTTGTCCAAATGGCTGTTTGAGGCGTTCAAGGATAATTTATTCGGTGTTTTTGGTCTCCCAAAGAATCAGAACCAGCCGGCTGCTGGAACATTAAAACATAGAAAACTTTTGGATCGTAATCCAAAGCTGTATACTCTTTTTGAGAATCTACCGCTGAATCCTTCTTCCATAGTCAACAGGTGGATCCATCACTCGTGCCCGTGCTTACTGGTTCAACTCTTTTCTCGCACCACTTCTTACGGAATCTCAGAGACCAACGCCCCTGACCGGCCCCCCGTCGCTGGGTTCCGGAGAGAGCGTCACCTGGTGTCACCCGTCCAGGTCGTGGACTCGCTCTTTCGAAATGCCAACGTCAAGTTGCGAAGACAGTCCGCCCAGCGCGTCGTTACCGCCGCGCGGTGGACAGACACCGCGGGACAAACACGTCTTGTGCGAGACAGCGGTAAGAGACAGACAGCGGGTTTGATTTGCACCGAGCACGGCCACAAATTGAATTGAATGATGGCCGCCAACTGAGTGTAGGTCAGAAGAAATTCACCTTAATTCACCCATTGAATTCTTTGAGGTTTGCTAGAACCGCTTAGGATACACGTTTGATACCTCCCTGTGTTTTGTTTCTCAGGGTTTTTCTCGAATCATCACGATCAAGCACGAGTTGTTATTTTGTAGGCTTGGCTGCTTTTTTTTCCCACTCAGCGTAACTTAGCGATGTTCAGGTACGTTGACATGGTGGAGAATGCGCGAGATCAGGCCATGTTGGTAGCCGAATCTCCAGTGCAACGAGGGAAACACTGCCCATAGCTTGCGGTGGGATGGCTGTGCTTACCAATTGACTTTTGAAGGTTACTGTAAGATTCTTTGCTTCATCACCACGAGTGACACATGGTGGTTTTTGCCTCGTTTTGGGCCGGCAACGCAGGACTCAAGGAACAACATGATCAATAGTTTCTTGTTGCAGAATGGGTGGCCAACAAAAAAATATCCACAGACTGCCCGATGCAAAAGGAGAGCTTGATGGGCATTTGCAGATCAACCTTCAACAGAATAGATGTTATTCATACTGTTTCATACCTCATTCTTTCACGAAAGGAACATGACCAAGCAAAGGAACCTACTGTACGATACTGTACGCTGCCATGCACTTCGGGCACCAGTTCCTCGGCCACTTCAGGGGGAAGAAAGTCTGGTAACAACTTCACTCGAGAATCTCACTGACTTCCTTTTCCCAATGGAATTTCGGCGGATTAATTTCCACCCCGAAATAAGTTATATATACCTGGAACCCCAAACGATCACCGTTTTTTGAGTGCCAATCAGTTTTGAGACGCCACATGGCATTGGTGTTCTGTTTTTGGGTGTTTGGCTAAAACGATCAAAAAATATCAAGGACTGCTTTCGCTATGTGGAAACCTTGCCGGAAACGAGCTGGAGACACCCAAACGCTTAAAAATACAACACAACATTTATAAACACGACTCAAACGACTAGAAACACAACGCCGTTGTGTGAACCACCTGAAACAACAACCAAAAATACAACGCAAACGATCAACAAAACGACGCAAACGCTCAACTTTATGGCGCAACTTTGGTGTTGTTATTCAATACACTTTGGAATCCCTGGAGTGCCCTTTGTGACACCGGCACAGGTCTTGGATTTGTTTTTTTGATGGTCGATCAAAAAAATCAAAAACGACTAGATTTTGGTAGGTGTTCCAGGCTCCAGGTATATATATATATATGTAAGCGGTCAGCACAGCCTACGTCTACCTCAAGTCCAGAGGACAAGGAAACCTACGGGGCTCTCCTATGAAGTGACTGTGCGACTTCGAACTGGCCCGTGGACAGCTTCTTTTGATCCACTTGACTGGTGGCGGTTGGACAGCAAACTGTCACAATGCTCGCATTGCATGCCACCGGGTCCCCTTTAAATGCAATCAAGCCACTGCGTACTCTTCGAAAAAGAAAACAAGCGAACCACGAAACAGCGCGTTTCCAGGTCCGGGACTTCTAGTTACTGTCGTTCTGTTGCTTGTCTGGTTCATGTTGTGAGGTGATGTTGTTTGTCAGTGGGTCTATGTTCTGTTCCTTCCTCTTCTTGGCGGATGC